AAACTTCCAAGTAAATGATAATCCGGTGCTGCAAGGTCGGAGCTATATGAAGGATGGGACATCACTTCCCAAGCAAGCTCCAATAAATTCGTCCGTGTTGTTAAATATGTGCGAGGCTTTCCATTTTCGTGGTGGAACATGATTCCTTTGCGATTTACCAATTCCGGCCTTTTCTCTTTGATTGCTTCTGTTTCATAAGTTGTTGGGAGTACACATCTGACTTGATCGTTTGGTTGATTGGACCAGACTCAAAATACACACCTTTGTTATCTAACCAAATTGACAGCATGATGTTTTATTGATGTAATTTAGCTTTCGATATGATGTGTGCTCATTCATCATGCTTGGACCAAGATCTTTTTTCGATTGATGTTATTGTACACGATTCACTTTTTATCAACAATGGTAATTTGTTTCAAAAAAGAGTCGACTGCGTTAAGTTTAAAATGCGTATCGCAAATATTGATTCGCTGTGTTAAGGAAATTTCTTTCAATTCTTGAGGAACAAAAATATCGAGCTTCTTAACGAGTCCGAGGAATCTTATGTAATTTTCATTTGTTATGTGTGATATGTTTAACCTTTTTCAAGCTGTCGCACAGTTATATGACGATTCGATTCAGTTATGGCTTTAATTTTGTCATCATCAACTTCAGAAGGTGGACCAGAACGTTGATCATCTTCAAGTAAAGTGTCTCCAGATCGAAATTTTTTAAACCAATTCTGACGCATGCGCTCTGTTAAGCACTGACACATGCGTTCTGTTAAGCAATCTTCACTGTAAACTTCACATATCTCTTTGCAAGCCTCGACCGCTCTCTTGCCTTTATGGAAATAAAAAATACCGAAAATGTTATTTTTGCACTTCCTGTTAAAATTGACCGTAAACTAACAGTTGTGAATAAAAATACACGGAATTTGTTTCTATAGCTACCTAAAAGTGTCAGCTGCCAAATCTCTAAAGAAGAAGAAAAAAAAAAAAAAAAAATTATAAGGTTGACAGAAGAATAAGAAAACGAACATAACGCTCTCTATTTGTGCAAACCAAAATTACTTTCTTGCCAAGTCAGTTTTTGTAAATTTTATGTGGGTCTTTTCCACAAGTATATTCTTCAGGAGTAAAGTAATTGCTTTCATACCTATCGCTGCAAATTCTGGGTGTATATTTCTCTCGCAAAAGTGAATATCGGAACTGTTACTCAGCACGCTAACAAGTTCATTCAGAATTCTGCAAGTTGATCATATTCAGAAGAAGTCAAGCTTTTCGATTTCATGGACAATGAAATTAAATCCCTGTTCAAGCTTTTTCTGACTTCAGGGAAGAGAAATTGAGTCTGAAACTTTCAGATTTGTTAGGTGCGTAATAAATAATCAATCATTCAAAGGGATATTTCATCCTCAGATATTGCTAAAAACTGAAATATTGTCCAAAATTATCGAAATTTAGGGATGCGCGTTATAAGCCGGATATAAAACTGATGGATTTAAAAATCAGGAAAAGATGAGCATACAAAAATATATATTTCTACGTGTGCCTAAGTCCTGTTAAAAGAAATGACTTAGCTTTCTTTTAAAAATCTAAAAATTTTCAACAAATAATTGAAACTTAAAAATTTTCGTTATCGGATAAATATGAAAAATTCGTCATATTCGTCTTCCGTAGCTAGATTATTAGATTTTGAATTACGTCAGGTTTAATTTCATCCTATGCTTTTATTACCCACTCATACACGATTCCTAGACTGGTATTCCCCTCCTTTTGTGAATGTTTTTTCACCTTCTAACATCCAGGTATTTCGCTGTGGTTTCAAATTTTCTTGAAATGTTTTATTGTTACATACGTCTAAAGGCTGAACTAATGGCGTTAATTCGCTGGAATAACAGCCATTATCTGTACTACTTATCCACAATTTCTTAAACATTTCTTATCTACAATTTCACACCTTTTTCGTCCATCTATCCTTTCTCGTGAACATGAATCAAAACACCATTTGGGAAATTACATTTTGGCACCGTCTTTCTTTTAAAAATAACATTGGGTTTTAATTTTTGCACCGTCTCGCTAAGCTGGAAAGCACTACGGTGAGACTTTTCGTGCGCTTTTTTTCCTGTGGTTTGTTGTTTTATGTAAACTGTTTTGTGCCTTTCATATCAATCAAACACATATTGTTCATCTTACCCATTGTCAGTTCAGTGTACCATTGCTCGAAAGCTGTGAAAAATCGTCGAATGAATGACCTCAAAAAACAAGAGCATCGCATATGTACCTTCTATGGTTCATCGTAAAGAAAAGGGTGCGCATTATACGGCGAATATACCTAAAAAGTTTAAAAAAAAATGTTGTTTGGAATTATAGATATACATTATACTCCGAAATATACGATTATTTATTAGTGCTTATACTTTCATCATAAATTACAAAATTATGCATCGACGTTCACTGTTAACCTTAAGTTGAACAAATATGCCACCATTAAAACCCAAGTGAAATCACTATTGCTTCATCCGGAAGTTAAAAACTACAATTTCAGTATTCCTTCTGGGAAAGCTACTCAGTTTCTGTATGGGGAGGGGGAGTCTTCGTCGAACCATAATAATCTGAGAATTTAGTTGAATAAGCCTTGATGTAGTTCATTATCGGAACAACCTCTTCCAACATTGTCTTCACATTTTGGGGGCATATAGACATTCTCAGTTAATGCATCAGTGTGTCCAAACGACTTTTCATGCATTAAACTCTTTTATAATAAACTGCGTAAATAGGAAAATAGTGTTATATTAGTTGTTCGAATCGCAAGTCATTTTTAAACCAAAAAATTTTACATACTTTGCCTCGGAATCCATGCCGACCATAAGTTATCTAATTAATGTTGTTGTAGATATATGTACTCTCATATAGACTTAGTGAATATAAAGAAATACTTTTACATGCTCAATTAATTTTTATTCAATACTTTGGTTAGTTAATGAGATAAATTAAAATTCTTTGATCCTTTTCACCTAGCATTTGTTAGCGGCCGAAGCGATAAGTCGCTGAACACTGGTAGTTCAATCTCGGTTTCGAATCCCGGCGAACGAGCTGGCTGCATGGTACCCATGTGTAACGTGTATATGAGCCAGTTTCCCTTAGGAAGCCCCTATGGAGGCAACCCTTCCCTTAGGCAGATAGCCCTCGAGTGCTTTGCCATAATTAAATAAAATGTAACATTTGTAGTAAACTTTACTTTTTCAGCAGGTACATTAAACTTTCTGTTACATGCAAAATTTTGCAGATTTTGTTGCATGCCAGAAAGAGACGCTTCACATGAAACAAAATTCCTTTTTTTGTTATTAGAATCGGATACCATCTCTCTAAATAACATCTAGCCTTTTTAACATTTTGTTATTTTTTCAAAACGTTAAGCTTGTTTGTACCGGTACTCAGTATGCGTAGTTTTTGAAAAGTTTGAGGATTTTTTAACGCTTCTTGACTAACAACACAATCGAGGAGTTCTGTATTACTATTATAGGTATTCGTAAACGATCGCTAATTATTCCATAGAATGTAAGGAATTACTCCATTCCCGGTGTGTGTTGTCTTGGTTGAATCGGTAGCATATTCAGCTAACATTTGCAAGACTCGTGTTTTGAAATCCTGATGAGGGCATAGCAGATATTGTCTCGTTTCTCGCTTCAGAGAAACCTAATAGTCTGTACAAGAATACGCATTTATTATAAAATTCTACTTACGTATTTTTACGCAATGATGTAAACATTTGAATTTGGCATAATCTTAATCCGATTGGTTTCTATTTTTCAATTTTAATGTATTACGCATGACATCTAGTGAGCTGGTCACCAGGTGCCAAGCAGAAAATTGAGACGTTGAGCAGTAACGCGAACAGGCTGTTGAATTAAAATTTTCTTAATATCCGTCATGTGTGTAAAGTGGATACGAGTCAATTCCTTTTATAAAGTCCTCTACGAATGCATTCTTTCCTTAATGCCCCAATGCGTAGGCAGATAGAACCTTTTATGGTTTGCTATAACCCAAGTAATCTAGTCAACCATATTATTTCTTTTTAGGGTTATAAAATTGCTTTGCCGTAGCCCAAGTAATCTAGTCAACCATATTATCGCTTTCTGGGTTATAAAATTGTTTTGCCCAAGTAATCTAATTAACCGTATTATCTCTTTCTGTGGTTATTAAATTTCTTTGCCATAATCCAAGTAATCTAGTCTATATCTCTTTCTGGACTAATAAAACTGCTTTGCCATAACCCAAATAATCTAGACAACTCTATTATATCTTTCTGGGTTATAAAATTATGTTTTGTCGTATTCCAAGTAATCTAGTCAACCATATTATCTCTTTCTGTGGTTATTAAATTGCTTTATTATTTGATTGCTTTATTTATGATGTTTTGCGTATTTTAAGTAATCTAGTCAACTGTTTATCTCTTTCTGTGGTTATTAAATTGCTTTGCCGTAATCCAAGTAATTTAGTCAACCATATTATCCCTTTCTGGGCTAAATTTTAACAAAATAATGTCAGTCAGCAGGTTCATATTGATACCAGTAGTATATTCAAATGATCACTAGGCTATTTGACCTGTTATTTTAACTAGCCAACGTGTGTGTGAACTTTTAACATGAACATTGGCCGGAGAATCAAACATGATGGAAAGGATTTGACTAAATTTGTGAATGAAAGAGAAATTCCAGCAGTTGGATTCTGCTGACAGATTAATAGAGCTTTATAATTTTTTAACTATAAATATATATTTATATATTCCATAAAGCAACAAAATAAAAAAATTAAAATTTTATTTGGAAAAAATTTCGCAGATTTTAGATTAATAACTCTCGGATTCCAAGAGTTTGTGCACCTCAGTCTAAGAACTGCTGCCCTAAATAAAGCTGAACTAAAGATTTTTGATTAAATATAATTCATTTATTAAATTTCACCTAATTTACTGTTACTGAATTTAATGCTTTAGCGTGTATTTCATTATACTTTTAGGGATCAGAAGGTATGAAAGCACCTAGCAGTACAACTTCTCCAACACCTTCTCGCTCTTCACTGGCATCGCAAGCTAGCACTCTTACTTCTGGAAGCTCAAAGAATGGTGCAGTGCCACCTCATAGGCCACCAAAACCTCCACCTCCGCCTAGAGCACATTCCCTTCTGCCCGGCAATAAAACTCTCAGAAATCCTGATGGAACGTTCAAGGTAAATCTCTTATGCAATCCTATGCCAGTTTTGATGCATATATTGGTAACCTATATCATACATCGTAATGCATATGTAGCGATTTTATAAATAATTCACCCTTTTACACTACAGAAAAAGAAATTTGTATTACACCCACAAAGCAATATATAGTTCTGATACATTATATTCATTATCACTCCTTTGCATTTTTTGTCAAACCACAGCAGAAAATGGATTCTAGCCGCAGCTGGATTAACCATTAAGCAAAATAAGGATGTTCTTAGGGCATCAAAAAAAAGGGGGGCAACACCAAAAGGTGCTTAGGAACTCAGGAAAGGGAACACCACAAAAATTTTCTATTGCCGATTTTACTATGAAATATTATGGTGTAGATAAAAAAAGACAAAGAGAAGGAATTGGGGGGAAGAGCCTTAAATTTATATGGGGACATCAAAATCTTTTAAATGCTTAGGGCCCCTAAAAGTGTTAATATGGACCTGACGCTAAAGTAATAAATAACACCGCAATTGCGCTATCAATTAATCAGACTTAGATGTAAGTGATAGATTAAAGCTGTAAAAGTCAAAGTAAGATGATGTTATGATTCAATGATGGACTCCCTTTTGAATCTTAGTTTTACGTTTTTGGTTGTGTAACATTTTACGTTTTGACTTTTCCACTGTGGTTCCGAAATTTGCTCAAAATGTCATATTTTATGGAGTTACGGTTTACTTTTGAGTTTCAAGAATTTTCTTGGGGTTGTTATTTACTGCTTACTTTTATTCTGCATGGAAGTTCTATTATCATTTTATGTAATCATGACGTCTCGTTTTCAGAAATTTATTCCGTCATTGATCAGTAATAGTAATTTAATTTGATGCTTAAAGTTTTAGCTTGATAAGTTTATGGCTTATAGTTTTTAGACTATTAGTTCTAGAGTGATAGGTGCATGTAAATATGTGTGTAATAATTCAGGGAATATTTCATAGGAAATGTTTCATTGCAGAAGTGAAAGCAAAATGATAACGGCCAAATTAGCAACATAATTTCAAAAATAAGTAAATAAATATTTGCTTCATATGGGAATTTCTCCTATTAGATAATCCTTGAAAAGTAGAGTTTGACTATAAAATTACTAATTTACAAATTATCTTTTATCCTATTCGACTAGACACATTAACTAAAATAATAAAATTATTATTATGATTTTATCTTACATATAATACTTTAAATGCTTTTATGAAATTTTTCAATTTTAAATAGTTTGGGATCGTTTTCTCTTCTAGTTCCCAGTCTCAACCGAAGAAAGCATAAATACAGATAACGCTGTTACTTTGCCATCGAAACCACAAGCGCCAAAGAGGCAATGTAAATCTGCACTTCTGAGATCTGATTATGCCAATTATGGTAACTATTTATATAACCTATGGGGGAAAAATTAAATGCTTATAAGCATGTATCTGCAATACATATTAATATTTTTATTTTGTACATATTTGATTCATTCATTTCATTATGGCTTTGTTATTCATCAATATCAGTACCTCAATTCATTACTCATATATATTCTATTATACACTTATGTATATTCTGTTATTCATTTGAATGCTCTTTAATTTATATTGGAGCTATGCCTTGACAAATTTATCACAGGCTGAAAATATCAGTAAATTGAAAATGCATTTAATACTCTTAACCTACTAAATATCATATATGTAAACCTGGCTAAATGTGCCCAAAATTGTTTGGCAAATCATATAACAAGAAAGCCTGTTTTATTAAAAATGCTGACTCTGTCTCATTTAATTTATTGAATATTAAACTATATATACAGTCAAAAGTCGTTAATCCGGACTCGTCGGGACTTCGGCGATTCCGGATTATAGATCATCAGTTTAAATCTGGTAAGATAGCATGCAGAAATTATAAAATTAAAAATATGAAAACGTAATTTATGAAATAAAGAACAATTATGATCTAAAGGGTATCAAAATTTACAAAAAAAAAAAAAGCTTAATATTTATTTGTTTACTTTACTTTCTTCGCTATCGGAAGCGAATTATAATGACGAGGAATTTGATTTAAATCGTACAAAGACGAAGTACATCGAGATGAAATACTACATTTAGTAAGGAATTATAAGCCAAATAAAATAAAAACATCTGCCCTGAAGATAAGGATAGTGCTGACAGATCAACTTCCAATTCATTGCGCGCCGCGGCGTCCCCTTGCCGCAGAGCAGCGTGAAATTGATAAACAGATTTCGGAATGGTTAGATAAAACAAAGGATATGCCTTTATCCATTTTTTTGCAGCAATTCCTTTTTTTTTTTTTTTTTTTTTGTTTGTTTAATGGACTTCGAAACATACTTTCGCTTTGTAGATCCTTTACATATTAGTAAATATATATATGAAATTCTATTTGACATAATCGAAAGTTCAAGCTTACTTTTATAAAATTGCTCTAACAGTCTGCAAAAAATAATAAGCCGGATCCAATTCGAAGATTAAGGAACAACACAATCTGCAACATTAACTGAATTAGATAATTTTAGCTTAGCTTATACCGTCCGTTATACCTGCGTAAACGTATTTTGGGCATGCACACACACATATTCGCAGCCGTAAAGGTCTTGCGCGATGCATGCGCAGTAAGTTTGTAGATTTGAGGTCCGGATTATGGGGGGTCCAAATTAACGACTTTTAACTGTATATATATATATATAATAATAATAATTTATTTCCTAAATAGTATTGATTAATTGATTTATATTATCTCCTAAGTTTAATTAAAGTAGAATTATTTTAAAAGTGTGCATCCATACTGGTAATTTATATTTTGAAAGATGTTTTGAAGTAATTTGAAAGCAAAATGTTAATAATGTTTTAACGGGGACTGGAGTTAAAATCATCACGAAGAATAATATTTCAATTGTAAAAGGAAAAATTAAAACATTAATCATTGTCATTGATCGAAATTAGTTGACTTTTCAAGGGAACAACCAACTCCCGTTCAATGAACAATAATTGATAAAAATACGTAAATACGAAAGTGTTTCGTCTTACTCGAGTTATAAGTTAAAGCCAACCGGCAAATTTTTTACATATATACAATTGAGTAATTACACTATATACAAATCTTTCAACTGACAGTCATCCAACTTATACCGCCTTCTCAGGTTTAGGAATAAATTATCATATCCCTATCAGTTAAATGATTTAGAGTGAGTATTTAACGCCTGCTCTTTTAAGGCAATGGTTGATAAATTGAAAGGGAATTAGATTATTTTTGAGAATTTTGATAAGGATCAAAATTTCGCGTTGTAAATCTATTGTATCTGTGCATATAGTTTTAATTCGTTGTATTTGATTAATTATAGTATTGTTAATTACTTTTTTGGATATGTTGGAGTTCCAATTTATTAATTTGTTAGTATTGAAATTGAAGTTTCTTGTTTTGTCAAAAAGTAAATTTTTTTTGTAGTTAATGATTTGAAGATCTAGAAAGTCTATGCTATTTTGTGAATTATTAGTTTTATTAAGTGTTAAGACAATTCGGATAAATCTCGGAGTGTTCAATTTTACCAAAATTATTAATTGTAATAAGGTCATCAATATATCTGTAGGTGTGTTTGTAGTAATTTAACTCTTGTGGTTGTAGATTTTTTTGGAAGTTAAATTCTTTGACAAATAAAAAGATATTACAGATCGAGGTGCTGGAATGTAAGCCCATTGGCAATCCTCTGACTTGTTTAAAAAGTTGATTTTGAAACTTGATGTAGTTATGAAAAAGTGTGCATTTTAGGTAGGTTTTCCATTTGTCAAGAGTCATGATATTGAGTATATTAGGGAAAAGTTTAGGTAGATCAAGTAGACTGGTATAGATTTCTTCTAGAGGAAGTGAGGTATATAAGTTTTCAAAGTCATAGCAATTAATGTTTTGGATGTTAATGGTTTGAATGGTATTAATGACAGGAGTGTTATTATGAATGATCCAGCAATAGTTATGATTAGTGTTACAATCATTGAAAATAAATTTACAGATTTTATTAAGTTGAATTGAAAAATAATAGTCTACATTTTTCTTGTAATTATTAGTTCCATTAGCTATAAATCTAAATTTTAATGGTGTTTTATGGAATTTGGGAATCGCATAAAGATTAGTAAATCTGTTGTAGTTTGCATTGAAAGTAATATTGAGTTTCTTATGAAAAGTTTTAAACCTGTTTATTATAGATGTTTCTGTAAGGTTGGCTAATTGATAAGTAGTTGCGTTGAGAAGTTCTTTATGAATAATTTCAGCGTAGAATTGTTTTCATATAATGCTAAAGTTATTAGTTGCTTTATCTATTTTTGTAATAGTAAAAAAGCTGTTTTAATTTTTAATATCTGATGTAAGTTTGCGACCAATTCAGTGTACTTTTAAATTTGAGGTGACTGATTTCGGTGGATATGCGTTGAAGAATTTGAAGAATTTTAGCTTTCCATTTTTAAGAAGGTATCTATGGGTAAATTCAGTTGATAGCTTGCTTTAACTATAAATTTGTTGATGTTGTTTTCGAAAGTCTTGTAACAGTAATTTGTAGTCATGTTTCTGACTGGTCTAAATTTTGTACCATAACTCATTAGTGTTTTAGTTGATGGTTTTGTATGATATTCAGGTTGCCAGTAATTATGTGCTGGTGATGAGAATCTACGTAATTGCTGTAAATTGGTGTCTTACAATGTCATTCTGCTGTTTCATCTATCTATTTCATGGTGGTTAGTCAGCAAGTTGCTTAAGGTCCTTTGATATTTAAATGCAATCATTGGTATTGTGTCAACTGCGGGGAAGTAATCTTTACAATCTCTGATGATTCTTGAGAAATGAATATTGTCAAACTGCGGATGTAGAAAATTGACTTTAAAATAAATTTTGCGTTGAGTGAGACTATTAGAGAGTCTGAAAAGACTAAAATCAAGAATCATGTCTTTAATGATTTGTATGTCGTCGTAGCTTTCTTGAATGAATTTTTTTAGTTTGATAAGGAATTTATTAGTACAGGAGTGTAACCAGTTGAGAAGTTTCTTGGGAAAGTTGTCTGAGTCAAAAAAACATTTCAATTGTTTTTTCAATGCAAGTGTATCCAAAGTGGATAAAAATCTCGCATTATTTTTTATTTTGCTTCCTCTTTTTCCTCTCTGCGTTTTGTTGCTGTAGTAGCTTAAATTGGCTGAAAATAGACTTCTTAGAAGTATCTCTATGACTATGTATATAAGTGTTAAGTCCATATGGATAAAGTGAACGTTGTTTTAGTATATAGAGAGATTCCTGAAAAATTCGTGTTTTGTGATTGGGTATTATATCTAGTATCTGAAGTTGAATAGAGTTGAAGTCATGGTGTTTAAAGTGCTCTAATTCTGCTGTATTGAGTTGTGATGGTGTACTTATTTTAATGCTATTTTTTTTTTTTTTTTTTTTTTTTTTTTTGCGCGTTGAATTTTTTGATTTGAGCTCTATGGTTATTGATTCGAAAGTTAAGATTGTTTTTTAGTCTGTCCTATATATTTAATATGTCAAGTGCCGCATGTAATCATGTAAATACAGTTAAATGTTTTTCATAGAAATTGTTTTTTGGGTTTACCTGTAGCAGGCATGGCGTTAAATTTTCAAGTTTGTCATCTAGTGGAATGACATTTAGTGATTTCAATATGAGTTAAACTAGCAAGATATAAAAGTAAGGAGGCTGCTTAAATAATATAAAGAATATTATTTAAAGAATATTATGGCTGCCATAATATTCTTAGTAATCTTAAATGTAATGAATCTTCTTCTCATGTTGCAAATTCTTATTTGTTTTAGAGCATTTCTGGGTGAATTCTTATTCAGATAGCATAACATACTCGAACTGTAATGATTATCGGTCCTGTGACACTCTAGATCTGCTTCAGCTGCAATGTAGTTTAAAAATGCTTTTGTATTTAGAGAGACAAATATACAGAGGAGTAAGTGCTTCTACTTCTCACTTGTTAAGCCATACCTGCAAAAGAAAGAATACCTAGATTTCACAAGACACTGATGTTGATAATCATACTTAAGAAACAATGAGAAGTAGCCTAAAGAATTTTCACATTTGGTGATTAAAGCTGATAATTTTCATAGCACTGATAATTTTATGCAAAATCTACAATGTTTGTAACATTTTTTAATTCCATCACGAATTTGCCCACATTCTGGAGTTTTGCCAATAGAATATTGTGAATTATTTTAAGGTATCATCCTAACCAGTAAACAAATTTTACCAATCAGAATTAAAATTCCATGAAATCAACCACTCATAAAAAACCTCCGCAGGGTGTATTTACCTTAGTATTTTACTATGAGAGTAGCACTCTGTGGGGCACAAAAACATGAGCCTGGTGGTTTCAAAACTCCAAAGAAAAATATATACGGTTGGTTCAAGGGAGGTTGGTTGTAAGTCGCCAAACTGGAGGTATCAATAGCAGTGCAGCGGTTGGCAAGAGCGTTCTTGACGACCAATTCAATTGTCAGGCTTAAATAATTGGCTACACCCCTCCATGAGGTCAAGAACTGGGAGTGGTGACTCCGTGGGCCCGATCTGATTGATTGGGTTAAAGTAAATTTTAAAGTCTGTCGCTGGTAAGTGTGGGACAGGCAGTTATGAAGAATACTGACCACTCAGTGATGGCTTCTTTCTGGCCTGTCTCCCGCCTTCCACCTATTAGCAAAGCCAAGAGAAAGTGGATAAGGCTGTCTAATGCAATAATCAATGCGGCAGAACACAGTGCTCTTAATCTAACTTACCCTTATCAATTCAGAAGACAAACACAAAAATCAGTGTTATATTTACAAAATTTTCACAGGACTAGTTTTGATGGTTTTACCGAACCACCATCCTCAGCTGCAAAACCGCAAATAAACAAGATAGGAAAAAATGATTAGATAAGATAAGAAAGCCTGGACAAGAATAAGGAAGTGGCGCCATCTGTTGGTGAAACCAGAACTAAAACATTTCTTTAATGGGCGAAGGCAAATTTGGATTGGAATTAGGATCGTTAATTAGAACAGAAAGATTTTTATGAATGTGAAATGCCTCTAGAAAATCCAGTTCTCCAATGGAAGCTGTTTTTTGAATAATTTTGGCAGCAGAAAAATTGAAAGTGTTATTTTCGGACCAACAATGTTGCGCAACAGAAGACTTCTGTGTTTCCTTTTTGCTAACATATGCCTCACGTTCCTTGACGCGAAATTTTAAGGATCTCTTAGTTTGGCCAATGTAAATTAAACCACACTGGCAAGGAATCCTATAAATACCCCAGGAATTCATATCCGGAACAGGGTCCTTAAGTATGGAACTCGGAATTTTATTGATGGGAGAGTAAACAACCCGAAAGTTAAATTTCTGCAAAATATGTGCAACTTTATAGCTAATTGATGGAAAGAAGGGAACGACAACAGAATTTTTATAATCTCTTAAAACAAGAGTGTGCCTTTTAGTGTGTTGAGATGAGAATTTTTTAACTGCTTTATTAATAATGTGGGGTGAAAAGCCCCTGTCAATAGATATTGCCCCTGTCAATAGATATTGCTTTTAAATAATTTAGTTCTTCATCAAGGGCTAGTTTGGAGGAGCAAACTTGAAGAGCACGGAAAACATAGGAATAAGAGAGACGGAAGAGAAAAATTCTCTTCCGTTTCTCGACATTCTGGTCACACGTAACACATCCAACTTCAGTACTACGGTTTACCGTAAACCTTCATCGGTTTGCCTTCCACCACACTTTAAATCATGTCATCCGACTAAACAAAAGTTAGCTTCATTTTATTCCTATGTTTTCCGTGCTCTTCAAGTTTGCTCCTCCAAACTAGCCCTTGATGAAGAACTAAATTATTTAAAGCAATAGCTATTGACAGGGGCTTTCCACCCAACATTATTAATCAAGCAGTTAAAAAGTTCTATCTCAACAAACTAAAAGGCACACTCTTGTTTTAGGAGATTATAAAATTCTGTTGTCATTCCCTTCTTTCCATCAATTAGCTATAAAGTTGCACTATTTTGCAGAGAAAGAAATTTAAACTTTCGGGTTGTTTATTCTCCAATCAATAAAATTCCGAGTTCCATACTCAAGGACCCCATTCCGGGTATGAATTCCTGGGGTATTTATAGGATTCCTTGCCAGTGTGGTTTTAATTTACATTGACCAAACTAAGAGAGCCTTAAAATTTCGCGTCAAGGAAACATGAGGCATATGTTAGAAAAAAGGAAACACAGAAGCTTCTGTTGCTCAACATTGTTGGTCCAAAAACCCACTTTCAATTTTTCTGCTGCCAAAATTATTCAAAAAACATCTTCCATTGGAGAACTGGATTTTCTAGAGGCATTTCACATTCATAAAAATCTTTTGTTCTAGTTAACGATCCTAATTCCAATCCAAATTTGCCTTCGGCCTTTAAAGAAATTATGTTTTAGTTATGGTTTCACGAACAGATGGCGCCACTTGCTTATTCTTGTCGAGGCTTTCTTATCTTATATAATCATTTTTTCCTATCTTGCTTATTTGCGGTTTTGCAGCTGAGGATGGTGGTTCGGTAAAACCATCGAAACTAGTCCTGTGAAAATTTTGTAAATATAACGCTGATTTTTGTTGTTGCCTTCTGAATTAGTATTTATTCGGCGTGTTATTGTGTCTTAATTACCCTTATCACTTATTAAAAAGAAGGCAGAATTAAATCTGCCTGTTTGTCCTGTCATCACAAAAAGTCAAAATCCAGACAAAGATTGATGTGGTGAGAGCAGAAAATCCTTAGCAAAAGTGCTCACTATTCATAACAAATTTTTCTCTCCTCGTAAAAAGTTCTTAGCTGGACTTAAGGTTAAACCAAAACAGTAGCTGGACTCAACTGCTGTAGGAACATAGTTTGTGAAAACTCAAGCTTGTTAATTTGTTTTGTGAAAACTGAATATTGTAATAATAATAAAATCTCTCATCTCTCTGTTCTCTGAAAACAGGATGTCAGTGATACAATGCTGTAGCTGCCCAGACAGGATGGTGATTAGTAATACTGATTACTGCACCGAAGGGCCCGGTTTAAATCCTGGAGAAAGCATAGATGTTTTTAAATGTGTAATGTCTGTGCAGCATGAGGCAGTGAAAATAAACAGCAAGCCGAAAGTCCTCTCGACTGGTTTGGTGGTATGAGAAGAGGGGGGTCGAAGAGCCTCAGACCCATTCTCCGAGGTGCTGTCCTTCAAAATTGAGGCAAGAATGGACAAAATTGTATTGTTGGTTGGACAAAGTTGTACCTGTATAGTGGTGAAGGCTTGTGTCAAGTGACAAACACAATCTTGCCCACCTTGCCACTATAAAATCGGTGGGCTTGTTCTGATTACGTCAGATAAGTGAAATCAGCTACAACAACATGGTAAAAATGCACTTTTATTATTAGTTTACCCCCTAATTTCAGAATTACAAATATTTAAAAAAAGCTGATAAAATAAATATGTTGGTTGAATATCCATTTTTAAAGTAGCAGTTGTGACTGAAAAATATGAGTTATGGAAATGTGAGTTATAGGGTAATTTTACGCAGATAAAAGCATATTGAACTAGAAGGATGCATGAAGCATTAAATTTAAAATATTTGCTGGGCAGGCATTGTTTAGTAAACAAAATTATTATTCTCATTCTCTGTTGATTGAATCCAAAATAGTTCATAGAAGACTCTAGGGATAAAGGGAACATAATGCTCTTCAGAATGATATTAAGTTTTCATGATACAATTTGCATCTTCACTGGGGTGTGCATTTCTCCATAGCAAGAAGGAGATACCTGCCTGTGACTGCTATGACATCTAAATATCATACCTAGCATGTACTTTAAGACTAAAAAAATTTTCAAAGGTTGAAGCACAGCTTCTACTAATTGCATAGTATTTTTGTACTATTATAAAGCTGAAACAAAGCAAAATGAAACACTTTGAGTTGAGGAATATATTATTTATGTGAATTTCTTTATTAGTATGTATATTTTGTTTATCTTATTGTATGCATCTGAGAAAAGTATGCATTTTCTGCATTCTAAGTATATTTTGCAAATCCTAAAAATTTTAATCCTTCTTTTTTCTCAATAGATGAGGGCAGAAATGTGTCCAGTTTGTCTGATAGCGTCACAAAATCAGAAGATGATGCTTCATCAAAAACAGAAACAAATAACAATGAAGAAGCAAATATGTATGAAGCAATATCTAATAGTCAAGAAACTTACTCAGAAAACCATTATCAAGATATTATAGTACTAGTCTTTTTATTTTAGTTCATTTTCTAATTTTTAAATTGAAGGAATTAATAATTATCCTTAGTATGCAACGTTTATACAAATTTCATTTGGATGTCTCGTATCATTTATGATATAAGCATTATTAAATTAGTAAAATAAAAGCATAAATTATTAAGATATGCATATAGTAAAATTTTGATTGCTCAAACTTCTGTAAGTTTAACTGAACATCAAAATATAGATTCTAAATAAATATTAATTTTTCTTAATAAGTTAAGCTTTAAATTACTTGACATATTTTTATGCACCCTTCAATTTCTATGATGAAAGTTTATATATTGTGATGAACATTAGTTCTAATTTGCTTCATTGAGCAAAATACAAATATAATTTAAATGGCAAATTAGAGATCTTATGCTAGCTCAAATGGCAATACTTTTGGCTCTTTGATTTTCCAGGAAGCATGTAAGACTGTGCTATTTATATCTAAGATCAATTATATGCTTTTATGTTGTTACGAAACACTCTGGAAACTGGCAGTTTGCTGAGCCATGTGAAAGATAAAAATATTATGCCTTATTCAATGATAATAATATTTTGCATGTTGCATGGATGATAAAATGGCTTGTAGCATAAAGTAATCTAATAACAATATGAAGCAAAAGTCAAAAAGTTTAAAAAGACCAAGTTGAAAAGTTTTATATAGTCCGTAGCCACTTTTTTGAATGCATGCTATAATTAAACACAGTGTATTAATAAGTTTTTAAAAAAGTATTTAGCATCTCTGAGACATTAAAATAGTAATCAGTTTAGTAAAAGTTACCACAAATGTAAATAAATGTGTTAAAAGTTGCTGCCAATGTAACATGTATCCAAACAACAAATTAACTAAATATCTTATCAGATTCTGGCCAACATAAAATTTTTTATTGCATACTGAACACAGTATTAACTTGAGTTTATTTTTCAAATACTTCATGTAGCATTTTGTTGTGTTGCAGAATTGTGTATTAAGAACATTCATTTAAATAATATTTTATGTAGTTACATAATTTAAATCTGAAATGTTTTCAGATTCAGAAATAAGCATTTGAGGTAATGCAGAAATTCTCATTAATATTTTACATAATTTACATTCTGTATTGAATCACTGATGCCAGAGCCCACCAGCAGCCGAGCAGTAAAGTCGCTGAACACTGGTAGTTCGGTCCGAGGTTCCAATTCTGCGAACGGGTTGGCTGCATGGGCATTTTCGTGGTTTTCCCCATGTGTAACATGCATAAGAGCATGTAAGACTTAGAAGTTAGTTTCCTTTAAAAAGTCCTCCACAAAGGCATCTTCCCCTTAGGCAGATGGCCTTTGAATGCTTTGCCATAATCGAATAAAGCAAACCAAACCATTGATGTCAAAAGTGTTTTTAGCAAAACCTTTCCAAGTTTTTAAGCTCGACTATCATATCATTCATCATCCATGTATCCTACTTATTTATTACTATTACAGATCTTCTATATGATCTGCCAAATAGCCAGTTTTTAGAGTGTTGTCAATCTACATAACTTAAAATCCTTTTAATTTATATTTCAAATGATAACTAAAAAAATTGAACATAAAAAGTATTGTTCTTAGTAATTTAAATTTTACTTATTTAATAATATATAATTGATATAATTCTGTTTAATCCATTAAACAGAATTTTATACCTATGTATATTCTATACCTGATGTACCTATCAGGTAATTATAAACATTGCAGCATTGATGTAGTTACTAAAAAACATTTCCAACACTACACATGCATCTAAGCATTGAGTTGTTTGGTTTTATATTATATTTCACATTTTATTTCACAACATGCGTAACTGGAGTCAATTCATTTAAGATTTTAATTTAATTAAGAAGTTTATATGCTGTAAAAATCATGCAATATAATCTTATTAAAGATTAGATGAAACTGTATATTCTTATAACACATTTAAAATGCCCTTTTTGATTACATAATTATTAACTTTTAAGGTACGTAAAAAATCTAAATTGCACTTGAAATCAATATAAGTAAAGTTAATTTTCACCTACTTTTATAATTCTTTTTTGATATGTATCACTTGCATGTATTGTATAATCTGAGAAATATTAATAACAAAATGGAATCAATAAAATCAGTACTTTTCAACTCTGTTTTACTGAACAACATTTTGTATATTCAGCATAAATATTTGATCATAATTTAAAAAATTTGTATTATTATGCCGATGATTTAATTTAACATTTAAATTGTATCATTATTTGAATAGTAAAAGGAACTATTTTAAAATGCAGGTCATAACAGAAGTAAATATAAAATCAGCAACTGGAGATGACATTTCAAGTTCTTCTTTACAGATGTCTGTGGTTAGTAAAATATCTTTCTATATGAATGCAAAATATACAAAATAAAGCAAATTATTAACATTTAACTTCTAACACATTACATGTTGGTGATCATAATCTGAATTTATGTTTTCAGCTAATGGCAGTTTCCAACACACTTGCGAAAAGTTGTCTGTTATTGTTCAATATTTTATTCTTATATGAATTTATATATGCATATATCTCACATTACATGTAAAAAAAAGAAAGAGTAGTTTTAAAGAAAAGCATTATAACATTTTTAACGGTTCTGCTAACCTTTTTCAGAATGTCATTGATGTGAAGATTCCTAACTTTTGAAATTTTTCTTGATTTTCTCTCTCTTGATAGGATTTCCAGACTTTTTTAACTCTTTAAATTTGCATTATTTTATTATATTACATGCTGTAACAACCTGCATATCAGAATTAATTACAAATAAAATAGTAATCAAGTGAATCATTTTTTAATACTGTGCAAAACCACCAAAGATTGTGTAGCAGGTGCAAAATCACCAATCTTTTGGTGTAGACATAGGTAAAAGGAAGAGTAGATTATTTTATGTTGAGGTATTATTTTTGATTTGTTTTCCCCCTAATATTTATCTAATGATGGAAGAATAAAAAAGCAGTCTACACAAATGTATCAATTTTTAAATTAAACTTTTTTAATCAAATTAGTAATTAAAAAACAATGAATGAGTCATTCATTGTGAGTATAGAAAGCTAACATTTTTTTTTTTTTTTTTTTTTAATGAGCATTAATTTTTGGTAATATAAACTTATGCATTCATTGATGCAACACAAATTCATTATTATTTTTAGTCCACAAACTGTTGAAATTAGAGGCTAGTGCATTATTATAAGACTAATGTGTAAAATATTAATGGGAATTTCTTCATTAACTTAAATGTCCACTGCTGTGCCATTTTTATGTGAATTGAAATTAAAAATCTGATGTGTACACCACATGACTTCCTTGTACGGAATATTAAATTATACGCATTTTTACTTGCATTTCATTTAAACTTATTGGATTGAATTAAATCTATTTTGCTGACAGCGCATAAACCACAATAGAATAAATGCATTCTTTAAAATTCACTCTAGTATTTGTTTACCATAGCAATACTCTGGCGCTAGATTCACTTAACAGTATTATATTTCGTTCATATTATAACTCATAATGCACAAAATTTATATCATTTAAAGAATAGAATTATCTAATCGTTGCCATGTTCTATTCAAATACTATAATAAAGCTAGAATGATGTATAAAAGAAATTAAGCAAAACAAAAAAGAAACAGTTTTTCACAGACAATTGAGCATTTCTCATTCAATTATTTCAATTCTCACTTTGAGAGAAGGCAAAAATACGTAAAAACTCAAAATATCTATATTAAAAATTACGAAGTAAATCTTAAACACTTATTTCCTCGAAAAAATTCCAGAAAGGATTAAGCATGATTTAATTGGCAATAATAAATGAAGCCGTTATCTTTGTTGTTGCGAAGCTAAGTTTATCTAGATTGGCAACAAATCCACTGGTTTGCTGTTTCAAATGTAAACAATGACCGCCATAAAAAAAAAAAGGCTTAGCGACACTTAAACAACTATAAAATTGTTGATAATTCTAAAGATATTGCACACAGATTTACTAAAGGCATAAAAGCCTTAACCGGAAGATAAAAACAACATAATTCAATAATTTTCAGGCCCACCAGCGGCCGAGTGGTAAAGTCGCTGAACACTGGTAGTTCGGTCCGAGGTTCGAATCCCGCGAACGGGCTGGCTACATGGGTGTTTTCGTGGTTTTCCCCACGTGTAACGTGTATACGAGCCAGTTTCCCTTAGAAAGTCCTCCACGAAGGCATCCCTCCTCTTAGGCAGATAGCCCTCGAGGCTTTGCCGTAATTAAATAACCTAACCTAACCAATAATTTTCAAAGCAAAAAATGTACAATTTACAAACATATAAGAGTAAAGAAACTGAGATCACTGAGCCGGGTAACAGAGTGGATATATATATAAATATATTTATACACGTTTGGTGCGGGCGATTGAAACCAAAATATCTACATGTTACCACATCTACATGTTATAGCAGTTCTATATACAAAATTTCAACGTTCTGAGGCTACTCGTTTTTGAGTTATGCGAGATATGTACGTACATACGTTCGTACAGAGGCCACGAAAAATTCTCTTCAGAATTAATTTTAAAGCAGTTTTATAATTTTTTTTTTTTTTGGAGGAAACAAGTCTTTTATTCTGTCCTTACGTACAGATATCGCGCAAAAACATCGTTAAATTGCATTCGATAGCAGTCAAAATGGATATTTTCGTTGAAATATGCTGCCTGAAACTTTTCGCGATTACAATACTTCCTTTTTACTTCGTACAAGGAATTAAAAAGGATTTGCACTTTTATAAATTAAACTCAGTTCTAAATTTACATAATAGAATATCATTTAACTTTTTTTATGACAGGATAATGCCAGAGTATCAGATTTGTCACTCACTGTTGTGGAAGAAGTCTCTGCTAATCAAAAAGTGGATACACCAAATTTGGAACATGATGGGCAGTTAACAGAGTCACAGACTAAAACCTCTGTTTCAAGTCAAGAAGATGAGTCAGTCAAAGTATCTAAACCCCTGCTTTCTCGAAATAAACACTCCCCACTTACCAAAGCTCCTGCACGACCGCCACCCATTTACACAAAACCTCAATCTTGTGGCATTGCAAGAAACAACACTCCATGGAAAACACTGGAAGATAGTTACTTGGCTGTAACAGCATTCAATCGAGAGCTCATAGTCAAATTAGTGAATCAGGTACGCATTTTTCAGCATTATTTTTTGCTTTAGAAAGCATTATTGAATTTTCCTATAGTTAATTCTAACTACTTATTTTATATACAAATTACATGGATATTTTTTTTAATTTTATTTTATACAGATTGCATTAAACAATGGGCAGATGATACCCAGAATAAAAAAAATCAATTTTTATTAACTTTAGTGCAGAGGACAAGAATTGTGATATGTTCATTATTATGTTTTAAAGATTCTTCAGAGTACATTTAATCAATAATTGATATTACCATAGTGCATGAAAAGTTTTTGTAATTATCAATGTTGTTATAATATTTCTTGTTAATAGCATAAATATCATGTATTTTTATTCTTTCCTGTTTAATATCTAATTTTATAAGAAACAGATGTTGTAACATATCAGAATATTAATTCATGTGTAAGTATTAACCCTTTGGAAGGTGTGAGATAAGTAATTCTTTCTTCTCATAAATATGCACAAAAACCATCTTCCGTCATGAACTTGTAGTGTGAGCTGGTTTATTTACACCCACTGCAATGCATAACTGGAATGCGAGTTGAACACGTTGATGACCATCAGAGGTTTAACTAAAACAACTTGGTGACATTGGGCTTGGAAAGTAACTAATTCCACTTTAATTGGTGTCATTTTAAAATTATTTGTACGAGGGCCATCCAGGAAGTAGATTACGTTTCCGTCTGTGTCCGCTAGGGGCGGGGCTAGTGCGGCCATCTTGGGGTCAGAGCGTTGCGCAGCTCAGTCTGCATCTAGCCGTGCTAGTGAGAGGTTCGTGCTGTGCTCCGTTCAGATACTGTGACGGTTTGAAATGTCTGCGTAATTGAAAATCCTGCGAGGTGCGCTCAGTAATAAGGTTTCTGACTGCAAAAAACTGTAAACCGATAGAAATCTATCGGCAGCTTCGTGAAGTGTATGGGGACAACATTATCACTGAAGGTGGAGTGCGTCAGTGGGTCATAAGATTTCAAAATGGCCGAACCAATGTTCACGACGAAAATCGAAGTGGGAGACCCAGCATAGTGACCGCCGAACTTCTCGAAAATGTCGATGCTAAAGTCCGTGAAAATCGAAATTTCACAATAACGGAACTTTCTTTGAGTTTTCCACAAATTTCGCGAAGTTTGTTGCACGAAATCATCAGCGAAAAGCTTGGTTACCACAAGTTTTGTGCAAGATGGATTCCAAAAATCTTGACAGAGGACCACAAAAATCAGCGAATGGCTGCAGCGTTGAACTTTTTGGACGCTTACCATAAGGATGGTGACTCTTTACTCGATCGCATCGTTACTGGTGACGAAACATGGGTGAAACATGTGAACTGTGAAACGAAATTGCAATCAATGCAGTGGGGGCACACAAGTTCTCCCCAAAAACCCAAGAAATGCATGCAAACAATGTCGGCAAGGAAGATGATGGCGACTGTTTTTTTGGGACAGAAAAGGTGTAATTTTGGTGGACTTCCTGGAAAGAGGCACTACAATAAACTCTCAAAGGTATTGCCAAACTCTCCAAAAACTCAGAAGAGCAATTCAAAACAAGCGCAGAGGAATGTTGAGCTCTAAGATCTTGTTGATTCACGACAACGCCCGGCCCCACACGGCAAATGTCACTCGTAAAGTTCTTGAATCTTTTAAGTGGGAGTTGTTTCCTCATCCGCCGTACAGTCCCGACCTGGCACCGAGCGACTTCCACCTATTCCCAGCAATGAAGAAGTGGCTGGCTATGCAGCGTTTTGATGACGACGCACAGCTGCAAGAAGAGGTAACGAAGTGGTTGAAGGCGCAGGCGGCCGAATTTTTCGACGAAGGAATTTCCAAGCTCGTACATCGCTACGATAAATGCCTTAATTTGTATGGTGACTATGTAGAAAAGTAGTATTTGAGTGGCTTTCATCTGTATATAATAAAATTTGTTTCCTATACTTTGTTTATTTTTTTATTCCAAAAACGTAATCTACTTTCTGGATAGCCCTCGTAATTCTTTTTTTGTTATTCAGTTTCACTGTTAATGCATTAAAATAATTACATAAAGAAATTTATCAGTAGAGGAAATAAGTTAAAATACCCTTCCCCAGCCATGGTCCATAGAAGCTTTGAGGAAGTACACAAGACAAAAGTTGCATTTTCGGATCCACAATATGAACTAAGGGATAACAAATTAATTTAATAATAATAAACTCGCGTCATAGAAAAGTTCAGAAATTTGCTATTAGAAGATACATACACTTTCTGCAACTTTATCGGGTTAACAGTAAAAAATTTCTGCCTACAAAAAATTCTCGAAGGAAAAAAAAAAAAGAAACATTAAGCTTCAACTAATCTAGGAAAAAATTAAACAGTCAGAAGTACAGATTTCAATCCATAGTGAGTAATCTGTATCGTTATAGCGAAATTTATTGTCTGTTATTGAACGTTATTGTTCTACTATATTCCCCAAGTACTTACAAACAGTGATGGCTGCTGGGGAAGGGGGGAACAACACAGCAGCAGAAAATCCCTCTGAAAAATAAATTAAAAAATATTAATTTGCCATACCCCTTTTTCACTTTTACTTTACAACTTTTTTTTTTAATGTTTAACTTTCACAATATCCAGACACATTTATGAAATGTCTGAAGAAATAGAAAATTAACTTACTGGAGGTGTTAACTAAACAAGAATCAGCATAATATTTATTTCTTACTTATAACACCTCCAACAACTGATATCCGGCATGTTATTTTAACTCAGACTTGTTTATCTCCAAACAAGCTTCCTTTCTTTTGCTAATATTACTCTGATTCTTGTTACCTTAACACCTCCAATAATCATTATTCGGTGGGTCTTTTCAATTCAGATCAAGTTATTGCTCAGTTATAACTGAAACAGTTTACAATGCAACTTAAGGAATCGATTTTAATAAGCAATGAAGCACTTTCATTGGTAAGGTATGTGGATAACAATCAACTCGCAGAGGAAATGCTTTTTACAAGAATCCTTAAAATAGATACTAAACATGAACTACTTAATTAAGTCCAGTCTTATTTTAAAGGGAAAAAAATAATTCGGTCAAAAGTCGTTAATTCGGACACCTATAATTCGGAATGATCTATAATCCGGACCTCAAAACTAAAAACTTTCTGCGCATGCGCCGCATTGACACATGCGCATAGGCGTTTGCGCGTGCGCGTAAGACCTTTTACGACTGCGCATATGAGTGTGCGCAAGTGCAGAATACGTTTTCGCGTGCGCATTTTATGTATAACGGACGTATAAGCTAAAATTATCTAATTATATATTTCAGTTAATGTTGATGATTGCGTTGTTCCTTAATTTTAGAATTGGATCCGGCTTATTATTTTTTGCAGACTGTAAGAGCAATTTTATAAAAGTAAGCTTAAACTTTCGAATATATCAAATAGAATTTCCGATATATATTTGTTAATATGTAAAGGATCTAAAGCGAAAGTATGTTTTGAAATCCGAAATCTGTTTTCAATTTCACGCTGCTCAGCGGGGGGATCACCGTGGCGGACGCGTAATGAATTGGAAGTTGATCTGTCAGCACTATCCTTATCTTCAGCGCAGATGTTTTTATTTTATATGGCTTATAATTCCTTACCAAATGTAGTATTTCATCTCGATATGCTCCGTCTTTGATATGATTTAAAACAAGTTCCTCGTCATTATAATTCGCTTTCGATAGCGAAGAAAGTGACAGAGGTTATTGAAAACAAAAAAATTTCGATTGACAAATTAGTCGGTGTTCTCGACACAGCAATTATAGGACTTGAACAGCGGAACTTTGTAACTGAACAAGAAATTATGTCTGTTTAATAGAATTAAAGAGAAAGTATTATCACATGAAACGAAGCAAAACTTAAACAACTTACATTGAAAGAAATGTTTAATAAAGTAAACAAATAAATATTAAGCTTTTTCTTTTTGCAACTTTTGATACCCTTTAGATCATAATTGTTCTTTATTTCATAAATTACGGTTTCATATTTTCAATTTTAGAATTTCTGCATGCCATCCTACGAGATTTAAACTGAATATCTATAATCCGGAAAAATCGATAATCCGGAATCGCCGAAGTCCCGACGAGTCCGGATTAACGACTTTTGACTGTATATTGTTACAGATTTGGTATTTAAATAGCTAATGTTAGTTGAATTGTAAATTAAATGGTTTTATTTCCTGTGCAGTGCAGCGTGTGACAAATATTAAAGGAAAGCTAAGCCGGAAAATTGAAAATAATTTAACATTAAATAAATAAATATCTCTTTTTGATTTCGAGAAAGTTCCAGAAAATTCTCGCACACGATTTAAAAATCTTGTAAAAAGGAGAAAAACCTCTCAATTTAGTCAGTGATTTTAGTTAGTTTGTTGTTGTTTTGAGAGTTTGTTTAGAAAACTGCTCTTGTTGACTGTAGCAAATTCGCGGATTATCTTTCTCTAGCTGTTTTGAATTAAGTTCTCTTGAACGTTTGAGTGGTTAAATGATAACTACTGTGAGATATTGTAATACTGCACGAATATTTGAGGAAATTTAAGCATATTTGTTGTGATAATAATAAATTTTTGTTCATTTTTCATCGGATTTGTGCATTCATTTCGTAATGAACCCGTACACACGCAACAATTTTTGGTGTCAGGAGTGGGGTTTGAATGCCAATAACAAGAGCAATGGAAGAACAATTGACGCAGCTCATCAGTGCTTTTGCTGCGTTCCAAGAAAAGCTGGCCAAGCATCATTTAAAGAAGAAATGAAAGAAAAGATGGATGCTGGACAGGAAAAGATGAAAGATTCTGTTAAAGATGAGATGAAACCTGTTAAAGAGGAGATGAAATCTAGTCAGGGAAAGATGGAAGAATCTGTTAAAAACGAGATGAAAGCTGTTAAGGAAGAGATTACCTGCATAATAGGAAACAAATTTGATTTTATGGAAGGCAGAATAGACACCGTTGAAAATAACGTTGGAGAAATTCAAGAGAGAGTTTCTGCTGTGGAGCAACAAATCGAAGGAAGAGTTTTGCCCATGCAACATTGAATCGAAAAAAAAATTGAAGAAAAAGTATATGTCGTCCAAGAACATGTTGAACAACAAATTGATGACAGGGTTTCTGCTGCCATAGCGAAAGAAGTTGATAGCCTAAAGAAATACATAGCGACAGCAGGAAACAATTCTGAAGGTTTTAAATTTCTATCTATGCCTACTCGTCCCTTCCTGAAGCTATCTACATATGATGGGAAGATCTCCTAGCTATCTACATATGATGGGAAGCAAGTATATAAGGTGCAATTTTCTATACTGGCGGAAGCAAATGGATGGGATTTCCAAGCTAAGGCCTGTCATCTTGCCGCTTCTTTGAGAGCAGACGCACCAACACGAGTGGATATCCTGCAGACTCTTCCCGAAAACCAGAGATTAGACTTTGAAGCTCTATCCGATGCATTGGAGCTGCGCTTTGGAGAGAAGCGTTTAAAAAAAACCAACCCTAAAGTGCTGGAACTGCGGTGTTGAAGGCCACATACGAAGGAACTCCAGAACACCCCAGAGCACGGAAAATAAGAGAGGCGGGTTAAACAGACAATTAAATGCCAAGTAAAGGATTGACAAGAAACTAAAGTGCTGGAACTGTGGAGCTGAAGGCCATGTACGAAGGAACTGCAAAATGCCCCAGGGTACGAAAATCGAGACCATTTCTCAGCAACGACGCAGGAAACAAATTAATGACCATATCAAGGAACGGAGGTTGCCAGATAATGAAAAACCTTGTTTTAAAGCACTCAAGATTTCTAGAGTGGCAACAGTAACAGACTGTCCATCAATGGGCATATCAATGGAATTCCTTGCAATATGATCATTGACACACAGGAGCTAATGTTACCATCATTAGGAAAGATTTAGCTGAACAGTTTAAAGATAAACTTATTTGGACGCCATCCTGTGTTACCCTTCAGACTGCGTCTGGTGACAAAATCGACATAGCTGGGAAGTTAAACGTGAACATCACGTTTGGAAGTGCCGCCTACCATCACACGGCATATGTGGCGGATATTACAGATCCATGCATACTCGGACTGGACTTTTTAAGGAAATACAATTTTTCCTTAGGACTTTCAAAACAACAAACTTTCTTTTAGCATCTGAAGACATAACTATCCATCATCAGGAAGGGATCCTCACCTGGAAATGCCCGACACCTTGTCCGAAAGACCTTGCTCGGGAAAGCTGTACGAACATCATACTAGGGTCGAAAAGAAATGCATTAGACTACCAGCTTATTTCTCTATCACAAATGCTCTTCGGTCGTGACCTTCGTCTGCCTTGTGATCGCCTTGCTTGGTAATCGCCCTTCCAGGATGCGCCTTCATCGCCTGAAGGAATATATCCAAGATCTTCCAGGCCCGGTTTGAAGCGATGCACAACTTTGCACGAGAGCGAGTTAAAACTTGGCGACGGAGAAGATGAAGACCCGATATGACACAAGAGCTACTGAACATCAATTCCACGAAGGAGACAAGGTGTGGTTGTGGAACCCGATTCAACGAAAAGGAGTCAGGCCTAAATTACAGTCACCTTGGGATGGTCCGCACACAGTCCTAAACAGGCTGAATGACGTCGTGGTTTGGATCCGTGAGTCTTCGAACTCTAAACATAAAGTCGTTCATTATGACAGGTTAGCTCATTACTATGGCATAGTAAGTAATGTAAATAATTATTACATTAAAATAATGTAAATGTAATGGCCATAGTAAGTAATGTAAATAATTGTAAATAGTGTAAGACCATGGTCCTTTTTGTTTCTAAATGTATATTTAGTACTTGATTTGTATTTGATAGCATCTGATTTGTTTTATTTATTGCATTTATTGTTCATGTTGTTTATTATTGTAATGTAATGCTTATCATTGCATTTATGCCACAGTTGTAAGTTTGGCTTCCTGTCCAAGGATTGTACTGCCCGGGACGTGCAGTCCTTGGGAAGAGGGCAGTATTACGGATTTGGTATTTAAATAGCTAATGTTAGTTGAATTGTAAATTAAATGGTTTTATTTCCTGGGCAGTGCAACGCGTGACGAATATTAAAGGAAAGCTAAGCCGGAAAATTGAAAATACAAGAGCACGTGCATTTAACATTAAATAAATAAATATCTCTTTTTGATTTCGAGAAAGTTCTTGCGCGTGATTTAAAAATCTTATAAAAAGGAGGAAAACCTCTCAATTTAGTCGGTGATTTTAGTTAGTATGTTGTTGTTTTAAGAGTTTGTTTAGAAAACTGCTCTTGTTGAATTCGCGGATTATCTTTCTCTAGCTGTTTTGAATTAAGTTCTCTTGAGCGTTTGAGTAATTAAAAGATAACTACTGTGAGATATTGTAATACTGCACGAATATTTGAGGAAATTTAAGCATATTTGTTGTGATGATAATAAATTTTTGTTCATTTTTCATCGGACATGTGCATTCATTTCGTAACGAACCCGTACGCACGCAACAATATACATACTCCACATGAAAATTTAATGACTTGATGCTACCAATGGCATTCCTTTTATAGTTGGTAAGAACAAAGTGTTTATCACTAATTTAAAAAATTAAATGCTAAAATCATTGTGTATATGTTGCATGATTCACCTTATTTTCCACTTCATTATTAGCTTTTAGTAGACTACAAATAAATATTCCATTTAGGTATATTACATATGCATATGGGAGATGCCCATACTTAAAATTATGACCCAAGCCATGAAAAAGAAGGTTCAGTAACCCTTGAGATTAAAGTTGTTTCAGTGTTATTTTATAGTAATAATTCTTCGTATTCAAGCACCAAAAAATAATCATCAGTCTTGATATGAAGAAACGAAAGGCTGGAAGTTCCATATTCTAAACAGTCTAATTTATTTATCCACTCTTGCTTAATGAAAGCAAACACAGGGATCATCCCTTTACATTCAGTTCCATAAAAGGTAGAAAAAGCGGGTTCGATTTAAAAATTTTCTGCAAAAAGAACTTTAAACTCTGGCTCTTAGTCAACATTCTACTTGATGCTTTAAGTTTAGCTGGTTATTTTGAATCAAAATTTTAATTAATAATAAAAGGAAGGTTGTAATAAATCATTTCACTTTTCCGTTAAATTACTTTTAATTTCATAAATAAAAATTTAAAAAGCTTTTTCCACATGAAAAAATTCTTTTTTGGTAGGCTTTGAAAAGAAGAAAACATATGTCAGCCGAGCTACCAAAGTCGAAATTTCAATGGGCTGATTTTGAAATTGATACAAGTGAGCCATCTTCCATTTTTGCTTTTGGTGAGAAAATTGCATATCATGCAACTATGCCTAAATATCCTGAATGCAGTGTAACATTAGTGGTAAGTTATTTTCTATACTATATTGCAAGTTTTTTAACTAAAATTCTTTGTTGTATATTTTCATAACGTTTATTTTTACTAGGATTTTTGTTTCACTTGAGAACTGGGTTTAAGCAAAAACTGTTCCTTATATGATTATGTTCCATTTAACTGGGGTTAAATATTTTATGGAAATAAAAAAAAAAAAAAAGTATATAGTTGGAGGAGGAAAAAATAAATTAGTACATCATTTTTAAAGAAAAAAAATATCAAGAAAGAAAAGCTTGAAATATTTCAAATGAGTTTTTGTTTAACAAATTTTAAAATTCTTAAATATTATGAAATCAAAAATTAGCCATCAGATTTAATTTCATATAAAATATTACTTGCATCTACATTAAGAAAACATACCTACTTCAAAAAATATTTCTTTGATTAATAATGGAAAATAAAGTGATTGACCATGTTTTATTTTGGTTGAGAATTTTTTAAATAGCACATGTGATTAGATTTGTTTTTAATGAAAAAACTAATAGTACTTTCTAACTATCTGGATGCCTACCAAAAGTCGGCAACTCATTGCGAAAAACATTATTGTTCTTCTTTACAAATCATGGGTTCTGATCATAAATAACAATAAAAAGCATATAAAAAATATGACAAGATATAGATAGCCAATATTTGAATTTATATAGTTGGTAGATATTTAGCAAAATGACCAATAAATTATAAAGTGTGTAAATCAGTATGCATGTTGTATATGCCTGTGTGGGTTATTTATTGACATGAATATACTAAAAAATAATCCAAAAATAGGCAATTCTACCAAAGGTTGAATCAAGAAAGATAATCAGGAAATAATTTTGTTAATGTTTTGTGGTAGTTAATGTTGCTATACTGAGTGCCCCATAATCTAGTCAGCAGGCTGTAAAAAACATTCTACAGTGCTATTATGAAGTAAGCAAAAAACCGTTTTCTGTGAACATATACCCAGAACAGTTTAAAAGTTAGGATGAAAAGACTAGTGCATGTACAACATGCCAACCTTCAAGAAGGAATGTAGTACAATGAAATAAATAACAGAAAACATGCATGGTAATATTATATAGTAAGTGTTTAAATTTCAAACCATCAACAATGATACAAGCACAGTAGCATTCTATCACAAATTAGCATATAAATGTTCAAAGCTTCCAAAGAATGCCATGAATTTCATCTGATGCAGTGGTGCATGAACATGAGCTTCATTAAGCCTTCATTAGAATGTGGTTTTATTGGCATACCTGTAATTAGGATATGTAATTCTGATACAAAGTGTTGCTTCCTTCAAACAGTCATTTGCTCATTTGCAGATGAAATGTACATTAACTGGCATCAATATTCAAGTATTTTAATAGTAGGGTATGCAGATACCAATTGGTGCCCCTACTATTGCATTCTTTATGTGCTCCTTATGACAGCTAGCCTTAAAGCATGTCTGACAATATAATTTTACACTGATTAGTCTATTACAGGCCTTCTGTTGCATTTTGCATATCAGAATGTCACCTATTATTTCATTGCAATTTAAAGAGCTCAGTACCATCTATTTACAAATCTTTTTTACTCAGCTTGAAAAGCCAATTTCTGCATCTTGTTATTAATCAATATTTAATGTATTTTCATTCATAAACTTAGTATTTCTTGCTAGTCATGTGATATATATTGCTTACCTTAGCCTACAAAATGGGCTTTTAATGTTTGGTGACTCAGTTTTGGAACATTCTGCATACAATTAGCTACTTAAATTATATTAGAATGGTCCTTATTTAAAAAGGGGCAATACACTTGTCATATATTTTCATGTTAGCAAATCTGAAATACTTGGAGAGCTATGTTTTAATGAAAGATACTTCATACCATTTTTTAAATAAGATTATTTTTTAAAAAAAAGATTAACAAGAATTATTAAGTACTTATTTGAAAACATTTGTGCAAATTCTTAATTTTCATTTTATACTACTACAAGCCATTAAATGATTGCTTCACAAAAAAATTATTTTAATTTTTAATTTTGTTTTTTAATTGCAGATTACTGTACAACAGCAACAGAATAGATTAAATGAAATCTATGAATCAAAATATCCAGTGTTCGGTCAATTTACAGATTACATACCTAGTGAATTATTAGATGGCTCTACTGATATTGAATTGGAATCTATGCCTGCCACTGTTTTGGTCTTGGATCGATCAAACATTTCAACAATTGAAAGCTTCACAGAGAGTTTACCCAATCCTCTAACAGAAGAAAATGAAAAGGAGTTATGTTTCATAATATTACAATTGATACAATTCCTAAAATCTTTACAAGCTCAAGGTATTGAATCAATGGATTCTAGTTTTCAAAATCTAATTCTGTCAAAAACCAAACAGGACAAGTTCAATACATTGGTATTCATATCTGATAACTGCTATGATGAAAATGACTATGCATCTGATTCTTGTAAAATATCACTGTGCCAGTATGCTTTAATGTTAATATTTCAGATGCTGTCAATTCAAACAAGTGAAGATTTTGCATCTTCATCAGCAACAAAATTCTCATCAAGCATGGCTAAAAAAGTTTTCGAAACTGCAATTTCACTTTTAGTAGAGGAAAAAGCTGTTTCACTTTCACAAACAAAAACTTTATTTGAATGCTTTTTGTGGGATGCTACAAAAGTTCTTGAAGCATTTTCTAATTCAGATGATACTGATAACATATTACATAGATGGCTGGATATTGAAAGAGCAAATTTCATCAAAAATCTAATTGATGAAAAAGCATGTGATATTAATATACAGAGTGAATACTTCTCCCAGTTTTTAATAAGGACAAGTGTACGAAATATTAAAGATGCAATTTCATATTTATAAGATTTGTCATAATTTTAATGCTTTAAAAAATCGAACATTTTAGCTAAAAATTAACAATTAAAATAATTTTAATACATACAAGATAAGAACATTTTGCATTTGGTGGAAATAAGTTACCTTGTCATTGTCTTTTGTAAATAGTTTACTGTAATTTAAGCAATAACACGAAATTCTGTGTAGAATTAGATAAGAGTTCCTCTTGCCTAGAACTTCAGATTTTAGCAAATTAACCCACAGAACTTTTATTTAAAACTATTTTTATTAACAGATTTACAAATTACTTATGAGTATTTTTTAATTAAAATGCTCTTTCAGATTGCACATAAAAATTACAACTGAGCACAAATTAGTTTTGAAAATCATATGCATAATGTGCACAGAAATATTCCTTCACAACATGAAATATTTTGTATACTTGTTAAATTTAATTGTAAATCTATGTAGATGTATTCTGATTTTTGAAATTAATTTTTTTAATTATGAAATTACCAGAATTTTTCCTTGTGAAAACAGATGTTTTTAGATATGAAAATTCTGTGAATTCATATTTTGTATATAAGAATGGTGTGAGCTTGTATATAAACTGTCTTGAAATGGCAAATTTTTAAAATATTTTTTTAGTTAATAAAATTTTTTGCAATTGTTTTATCTGCTGTTTCAAATTATGTATAAAAATACACAAATTCATATTATAAGTATTTATTCAAATCATACATATACATTAATATTTTTAAAATATTTTTCTATACATTATATATTTTATAAAATGGAATTATACTGTTTACAATATAGTAATAAAAATAATTATAAATGATTAATTATTAAAATCAATCTGTAAAATATTTAAGGCACCGATTAATCATTAACATTTCACCCACTTTAATATACAAAACACTTATGTTTTTGGTATATTGTTTCATTATGAAAAGTTGTTTTCAATAATTTTACCATGAAAAATAAAATAAAAAGCAAGTCTTACATTATGCTATAGAGAAATAATTTAAAGTACACTTAAGCGAATCACTTTGTTTTGGGAAATGTACCCATAAATTTGGAAATAATACTTAACATAATTTCATCACTGCCCCCAGCAATTGATATAAGTCGTGCATCCCTAAATGCACGACTAATGTTAACATCAGAAGTGTAACCCATACCTCCCCAAAATTGAAGACACTTATCTGTAACTTCTCGAGCAAGTCTTCCAGCTTTTAGTTTTGCCATAGATGCTAACAAAGTTACATCTTGGCCATCAATCATCATTGCTAAAACAGAAATAAACTCTTTCAATACATAAAAAAATAACAGCATCAAAGTTATAAACAATGTGCATCATAAAGCATATTAATTGGAACATATTGGATTAGACTACTCAGATTAGCAATTAAGTAAGATGTTTCAGTTGTCTGAAATTTGATGATCTCAATAAGGGAGAAAATACAATGAACCTTCTTCATGGTAATCACATGAAAGCGGCCAGCATTTCTAATATAAAATCTGCACCTCTTAAAATGGCCACTTTCACAAAGGATCAAAATTCAAAGTTGAATGAGTGAAACCCAAACTGATATTTGAACTTATTCCATTATCACTCCACTTATAACATTATTGTGACTAATACTCACACAGCATGATAAACAGTCCCATATAACGTGCAAGCTAAATGAAACATTTTCATATAGTTTCTAATTTTTTGCTTAGAAAAAGAAATGCATACATATTTACCTGTTTACACTATATACATGAACAGTGAAGATCAGTGTAGGATTTACGTATAAGCTACACAAGCTGTAGCTTAGAGCCCCCAAAAGATTAAAATACAGTATAACAGACTTATAAAGAGCCCCATATCTCAAACAGCATAGGAGGCCTTATCAAGTGTAAATCTGGCTCTGATTTAACAGTTTTAAAAAAGTAGTGGTTAATAAAAAAAAAAAAAAATTACAGGAGCTTATTTTACAGAAGTCCATAAAGATATAACTGGGAAATAATTTTAGTACTATTCAACTTCAATAAAAATATCCTGTTCTCTATTTAACATTTATTCACTATTGGAAAGTATTACCAAATAAGTTTCAATGATGCTGCGTTGTTAATACTAATTGTACAGATTCATCACTTGAATAATGCACAATTTCATCATGGTTATCATCATTATTTAAAAAGTTCTTTCTCCAGATCATTTTAAGATTGAAAACGTGGAGATAGATAATCATTTCTTTACTTTTTATTTAAATTATTTTTAATTCTGTAAGCCACTCTATTGACTGATAAATTTTCATAAAATGTGTTTCTTATGTTTTGGCTATTTGTAAACCTTTATTTATATCTTAGAAACTTTAAGGTTGCTCTGGGCACATTAAAAGTCTGTACTGAATTTTCTTCTTCATTGCTAGAATGATAACAATTTGATAATTCTATTAATTAGAATCTGTAATAATGGAATTTGCTGTAATAATGACATCTGGCCATAAATTTTTCCAACAGGTTTTGTCGGTCAAAGATTTGAGTTCTTTAAGAGATATACAATTTGGTATTAAAAAATTCTTTCCAAGTTTGTGGAATTCGAATTGTAATCAATTTTTTTCTAAAATCACTTCAGATGTACAATATGAACAAATTTTAAATGTTTCCATTATCTCTTGGTCAAGTGGTTAAAGAATTGTGTTGGGTGGCAGACAAACCACTTTAACACTAGGATGATTTAAATTGCTAGGATGGGCTGGCGTGCTATCCATGAATAACAAAACTTTAAAAACTAATATTTTTTCATCGTAAATAATCTTCGATCTCCAGACCAAAACAGTTATAAAACCAATTTCAAAATATTCTGCAAGTAATCCATACTTTTTTACTTGCTCGCTAGTGTATAGGAAGTATTTTTCAATAATTAAAACAGGGTTGCCACTCAAACAGGAGAATGAAATTCCCTGACTTTTCCAGGTTTTCCAGGTGTGTTTCGAGTAAATTCGTCTATCCGCGTAATGTACGTTGGCTGTGCTAAGAGGTAAATTAATTATGGTATTACTTGTACTGTGTAGCAAATTCACTTAATTATTCAATAAATCCCAGAGGACATTTATTCTTAATTATTCTTGGTACACTTTGTTTGATAATTTTGTTTACTTTTTCGCTTAAAAAACTTAATAAAATTTAAGATATATACATTGGATAACCAACTGTACATTTTATTTAATTATTACTCATGATCATCCCCAGTTCAACACGAGGCTAATCCGGTTCTTATAAATCACAATGCAATGCTAAAAGTTAGGTTAGATTTTAGGTAAATTTAATTTGTGTGAGGTGTATTCTTAAAAGGCACCTTAACACTTGAAAACACAACTATAATTATAATAGGAGTTGTTTTCTCCACTGAAGATTGAGATTAGAATCTGCCCAATCTGGAATAAAATAAGGCTTTTTTGCAGACATTCTGCAGCTAAACGAAAGAAAGAAATCTATTTAATGATATTTTTTTACTAAGTTGAGGTATTTTATATTTATTTCGCAGCATACATAAGGAAAAAATATGTGCATTAAATTTCGTGATGTCATCATACTGCTAGAATTAATTTCAGGATTATGCCAGAGAAAATTTCCTGAAATTTGGAAATATTATTTACTAATGATAAATAAATTTAGAGGGAAGAAGCAACATTAAATGATATGAATAACATAAAAATAAAGATAATTACTTAAAAATTTAATTAGAATAATCAACGATATTTTAGCGAATATAGTTATATTACATGGTTATCCTAGATGATTGATTACTACTTTTTTATTTTACTGCAAAATGACAAGGTATTTATTAAAAAGAAAAGGAAAAAAAAAGATTTTGCGGTAAAATCCTAGTATACGATACGGCCTTCGCATGATTTTGTAAATTGTCACCAAGAACAAAATGACCCGTTTACTGCTCATCATCATGTCGCCAAATCCCGCTGTACCATACATGGAGATTATTCTGACCAAAGAACGTCTATGTAAAAAGCAGAGGGAAAATTTGCCAAGGGATTTGACGACGGATCGGCCAGAATATCCCTCTCCGCAATGTGTACAGGAAATTGAGAAACACGTGTTAAGAAGAAACGTTCTTTGACAAAAAAGAAAACTATGAAAATCCATTTTTAAATTATTGCGAAAAATCCAAGAAGAAACGTTTTATCAAAGAACGTTTTTTTCTTGGATTTTTCGCAATAATTTTAAAAACGGATTTTCGTAGATTTTTTTTTTTTCCACCCTCAAAATAACTAATCCATGAATTAATTTACTTGCGCCAAAAAATATTTTCTTTTCCTTTAGAGTTTAAAGACATTTTAAACTATATTCATTTTATGAACTCTTGATAACATGACCTTCGAACTTCGACACCGGTTTCGAGCTTTGGCGACAGATATACCGCGCATGCACAGCTGTTTCCCGCTATGATGGAACTGAAATACCCTCATATGCGGTCAGGTCGTAAATTTAGAACCCCTTTTTTCACAGGGGGGGCTGAAAAGTAGGGAATAATCTTGCTCGTGGTCTTGGGGGTCGTTTAAACATCTAACTTCTCTACATTCAGTTTTATACAGAGGAAAATACAAATTGAATTCTTCGAATGAATGCAATTTTGTACAATGAAAATATATTACTTAATGATAAACTGTAAAAATAAATAACATCTCTTTTTAAAGCCATAGGTGTAGTAGAAAGACAGATATTTGTTACATCGAATGAATTTGTAGTAAATACTGAGTTTTTCATTTCGAATGCTATGTTACCATGTATGCGAAGAAGTAGCTGAGTATGTAGATAAAATACTCATAAACCGAATGGCTTTCAACCTTTTCACAGCTCTAAGGACTGTTTCTCAATTACATTGTTGGTCGCCGCTTTTTGGTTAATTTTCTCAATGACATATAAACAATAGTTCTTTTTATTTGAGACTTATGAATAAAATAACGCAAACTAGACTGCAGAAAATTCTTCAGATTGAAGTTAAATAATACTGAAAAATACATTATTGATGCACTTTTGTGGTTTTATATATAGTAGTATTAAACTACTAGTATAATCCTTAAATGGAAATCCTTAAATTATATATACATGTATCTATGTATAGGCATATATAAACGGAACCAAATTATAGAACAAGGTTATAAAATATCAAAGGAAAAATAGCCTTATTATACAATGTTCATTACCATACTCATATTTACGTAATATCAATATAAATAGTTAGTTAGGTTTCGTACATATATAATTTATTTTTATATTTTGTATTTTTTGTATTAGATTCAGTATTGTATACGTATCTGAAGTTTAATTTGTTCTCTTTTTGGGTTACGACTTTAAGTGAGAAAGAATTGTTAGGGCCTTCATAGGGATTACATTATATACAATCAGTTAGGATCCGACTTTTCCTTTCTTTTAATCATAATATATATTGAAATACTACTTGATAAGTATATGTAAAATATAGCAGTATTTTAAGCTACTTATTTATATATCTATTGTTTGGTCTGGTTTGTTTGATTATAGCAGAGCATTCGACGGTTATTTGCCTAAGGGTAAGGGTGCCTCGTGGAGAACTTTCTAAGCAAAACTGACTCTTATGCAAGTTACATGTGGGGAAAACCTTGAAAACGCCAATACAGCCATCCCCGTCGATCCGGATCGACCTGCCAGAGTTCAACGATTTTACAGCTCAGCCGCTAGTGAGCCACACACACACACACTCATCCACACATATAGATTAAATAGTATTTACATGTCGTTTATAAAGTATAATTGAGTACAATTTAATCATAAAGAGAAAATATTCTGCAGAATTACTTCACTTCGTAGACTTTTTGCTAAGCTTCACCATATTTCTTAAAGAGAATCACAACGCTGATTCCATTTCCTAGACCTTTATGTATCTTATTTTTTTCTACACTGAATTATATTTAGAAAATTATTTCACTTGGTTATAGCTGAAAATGAATGAAAGAATTTAAGGGTAATAAGAGAATTATGCCCTTTTCTAATTATTCTTGAAGCATTTAATTTTTTTAAAAAAAAAGCGCACATTAATACGGATCACTGAACTAAAGTGCTCGATACAGGACAGATTAACTAGCTACTAAATTTTGATTTTCGTTGAGTATGAATTCATCTGCATTCTATAAGAAAGTAAATATTCAAGAAATTTTTTTTTTCCGATTCTCGCAGTCATAATATTTTTGTTAAGTATTCAGCTAATTCATATTCAGATATTCCAATCCATTACAATAAG